GAAAGTGTAAGAGTGTAAGAGAGAAAAAAGGTTCACCTTCTTAAAAAACATGACAGTTGGGCTTCTGAGTCTTCACACTTTAGTTTCGGGAAAGTTTTATATTCTTATCAAAAATCTATCAATTTCTGAAGAAGTTGATACAAGGTCTTAAAAAAATTGAACTTTTTCAAGTTCCGATCCATTCAGACTGTATTTAAAATCAATTTTATCGCGTCTCCTCTTGTCAAAATAGAATTTAATTCCCATTTTACAGTAAACAAAATAAGTCAATGAAATGGAGAAAGAAGGTGGAGGGGGCGGAGTTTAGCTTTTTCCTACGGACATATGAGCAAGCAGTAGCCCCGTCCGCCTACTTCATTCTAGTAACTACTACTATTGTTCAGTCTAATCTTTTTAAGTATTAGCACCGCCCACCCGCCCTCTCTTATATCCCAGAAGGTGTGATTTGCCAAAATCAGTCTTGTCTTATTAGGTACTAGCCAGCCCCACCCGCCCATTATGTTTTAGAGAGTTGCCAAAATCAGTCTTATCTTAGCTGTTCAGTATAAAATGACCTTTTCATTCTGACCAGATAAAATGAAACAATGTAATAGAGGTGGGGTGGGTGGGTGGATGGGGTCAATTATAAATTCGGCGTAAGTACTAGCCCCGCCCATTCGCCCTTTATCTTCTCAGAAGGTGTCATTTGCCAAATTCAGTCTTATCTTATCAGATACTAGCCCTCCCACCCGCCCACTATTTTCTTAGAGAGTATGTCATTTGCCAAAATCAATCTTATCTTAGCAAGGCTAGCCTCGTCCACCCGCCCTATTCCTAATTTTATTTGTGTTCAGTAGAAAATGCACTTTTCGTTCTGAGAAGATAAAATGAATCAGTGAAATAAAGGTGGGGTGGGTGGGCGGGGTTAAATATATATTCGTCTTAAGTACTAACCCCACCCACCCGCGCTTTATTTTCTCAGAAGGTGTCATTTACCAAATTCAGTCTTATCTTATCAGATACAGAAAATCTTAAATTTTTTTTGCGAAAGTTATTTTGACAAAATTCTTTCGCCCTAGGCAGGTTCTTTAAAACATTATAAAATTTGAGTTTGTAATTTCGTTTTGTGATAACCTCTATAAAGTAAAAACTATTGGAGTAATAACACCCCGCGTTCCGCAGATGTGTGAACAAAATGAAGTACATATATGTATTTAAAGCAGATAAGCAATGCGAAAAAATGTTAAATATTCTCCAATTCTCAGTACATGCTTTACTTCGACTGTTTATGTTTACACTTCGAACAAATATAAATATAATCGAACAAATTTTGATTAATGATAAATCATACTTTTTGTAACCTTAAAATGTTTGTAAGATTTCAGAGCATTCGGTTTTGCATTTTCAAAGTTACATTGAAAAATTTAATTTTCATTTTTTCTCCAAAAATTTGGATGTCCAAGGTGAAAACGGATTCATAAACCACATGTGAAGGAGTGTCTGATTTTATAAAACCGAAATAATATTTGCTAGTATCCATAATACCTATATAATATAGTAAATGCAAATTTGAAAAAAACGGAAGAAGCAAACAGACAAAAGGCCAAAAGGAAGAATTATTATTTAGTTACACGTAGACTAAGAATACACTAAGGAAAATGGTTAGATTAGGGAAGAACGAGTCGAAAACCAGACAGAAGAAAGAAGTAATCTACAAACAATGAATAAAATTTGAATCCAAAACGGGGAATCATCAGGATTTGAAGCAGTTTTGGTTTTGACCAAAGACACAGGACGATAAAAAAAGTAAATACGACGAAATTCTTTTCGCAGACGAAAATGGGCGACCTACTGTTTCACTTTCTACAATCTATGAAACGTCGAGAAAATTTGGACTCTATTGCAATACGCTCGGAAGGTATGTTAATATTGAGCAAAACAATGACACATGGCGTTTTCGCTGCACCTCGTGCACACGCCGTCTTCCTCGGCGTCACGTCCCGTTTTTCCCAGCGCATTTCTCCCCATAATGCACCGAGCGAATATTACCACGATCACGTATGTAATCATCGCCGTAACATTAGCGTAATACCTCCAGTTATTACGTTACACGTAGTGCTAATGCTTAAACAAGCTAGATATTGACCGCAAGTTAGTGCCGCCTCTGGCTGCTTCTGCTTCAACTTATTATCGAATCGATAACGATTTAGTTTGCGTCGTCGCTTTGATACCATTTCTGCGATTAATTGGCGTGAAGATGGCTTTAGAAGGGCGCGCGCGTGACTGTGTTTGTGTCACTTTGAATGGCAGCGATCTCCGGTGCAGACAGTGGCGGTGGTGTTTGGCAGGAGCACGTTTACGCTTTGCGGTTACGACGAAAACGGCGAAACGTTAATAATAAAGTAGGTAAAGCAGTGTGCTAATTGACAATTAAGTATGAAATGCAAGAGACGAGATTTATTTGGGAGTTCGGGTTCGGATGAAATGCTGTGCAACTGCACGGAGAATGTTTTGCTTTCAATTAGAGTTAAATTTTCTTCAGCACGTTTGCGTCGAAACAACGTATAATAAGTTAGTCGTGCATAATTTCGTGAGTGTTGGAAGAAATACACTTCTGTATTTGGCTATGTATAATGTGTTCAAAATCTATTACCTACATTTCTTTTACACCTATATAATCACTATAATCATCCTGCAAACTATATTTAACGTCTGTCAAAAAGAGAAAAGGTAAGCCGAAACGCTTGTCGTTTGAAGTTTTTCAAGGATAAATAATATTCCCCGCATCGTTTCCATTAGACTGCATTTTCCGGGATTTCACGTCGAAAGTTTACATTACTAACAGACTGTTAATGTTAGGTTATTTGCCTCCAAATGAAATGAATCATCGTAGTGTATTAGCTAGATGAAAAACGAGAAGTCTTTTAAGGGGGTACTGACTCACTTCGTAAAAGCATACTTACATGGGTCTAGAATTTTGCAAACAGCGAGTCGAATTTTCATTGGAATTTAACAAAATTTGGATTGTACCTGTAGAAAGGATTTATCTACACGGCTAGCTTCATGAATGCTTATAATTCTAAAAATCAGTTGAAATAAGTCGGTATAAAATAAGCGTTTTTATTGTAATGTTTCAACGTAAATATAGATTAACAGCATTCAGCGATTAAATATAAGTATAGCTGGCCGTGTAGTGTCATTCATGAATTGCAGTTCTGGTTAATAAAAATTTGTAAAAAGTTAACAATGCGCTTGTATTTTGCAAAATTCTAGACATCTGCACAATACGATTTGGTATCAGCAGCTCGAGTTGCTGCCAACGGGTTGGCGTGTAGAGGGAGTTATTTGAAACAGAACCACTGCATCTCCCCAATAGTGTCGGCAGCTCTTAGCTGCCTTTTGTTGTGTGTATAACTTGACTGGTCAAATGTTTCCCTAAACTGAAAAAACCCAAGAAAAACATCTGGAAATTATTATGGTCGATGCAGATTGCAGACCAGAAAACGTGCAACTGCAGTGTAGTAGGTACAGACAGCATGGCGAGAGGTGACCGAAATTTGAAAAAAAATCCGCGGCTAAGCGTACGGCGTAAAAGCCGAAAACGCATATCTAAAAAAAAGTGTTCTGAAAGTGAATTCATTCAAACAGAAGTAAGAGAATTTATTGAGCCACGTTGCAGGTAAAATTATGGAATAAAATTAACAATGCACATTTGTTAAGATTGTTAATTCACAGCAATCAACTAGAGGTGGATAGCATTTGTAATCCGTCAAATGATTACGAAATAAATGATAAACGCATTCAAACAGAAATAAGAGAATTTGTTGAGCCAAGTTGCAGGTAAAGTTACGGAATAAAAATTAACAATGCACATTTGTTACAATTTGGTTATTCGCAGCAATCAACTAGAGGTGGATAGCATTTGCAATCCGTCAAGTGATTACAAAATTAGTGATAAACGAACTGAAACAGGAGAATTTGATGAACCAAGTTCCAGGTAAATTTACGAAATTAAATTATCTGCATATTTGTAAAAATTTTGTTATTCGTAGCAGTCAACTTGAAATTGAAAATATTTCTAATCCTTCAAGTGATTACGAAATTAGTGGTAGAAGAATTGTGGATATTAAACTTATTTTCGAGTCTATTACAAGCTTCAAACATCTCGAATTATTTAAATGCGGTGCGTGCCATTTACGCATTGTCAAAGAGTTGCGAATAGGACTAATCAGCAAATTTACTCTGCAATGTTCTATGTGTAAAGAAGTTGCCATCGTTTCCACGGATAAAATTGAACCAAATCATATGGATATAAACAAGGCAACAGTACTGGGAACAATTTCAACCGGAGGAGGCCATTCGCAGTTAGAAGAACTTCTTGCTTTTTGCGATATTCCCTGTATGTCTTTTCGGACATTTTCTCACTGTCAAAGTGATGTGGCTTCTCATATTTATGAAACAGCACATGATTTAATGTTATTGGCCGGGAAAGAAGAAGCGCAACTAGCAACAGACGCTGGTGACATTGATAACGATGGCATCCCAAAAATTACTGTCATTGCCGATGGAGCGTGGTGTAAACGTTCCTACAAGACAAATTATAACGCATCTTCAGGAGTCGTGAGTACCTATAATTCATCGCAAAAGACAAGAAGCATTTCATTTCAATTTTTTATTAGGGAGTTATCATTGGTCAACGTACCAAAAAAATTCTTTATTTGGGCATCAAAAATAAATACTGCTTCATATGTGCTCGGGCAAAGACGTTGTCACAGGAACCAAAGACACACAATTGTTTTAAGAATTGGACTGGGACGTCTACATCTATGGAGTCAGAAATAATAGTAGAAGGATTTCGGCAAAGCGTTGCAATGCATGGCGTCAAATACGCATATTTAGTTGGTGACGGTGATAGTAGTGTTACTAGAAAGTTAGCTGATGCTCGTCCATACAAAAATCTAGTGGTTCATAAAATTGAGTGTAGAAATCATCTATTGCGTAATTTCTGCAATCACCTCAAAGAGTTGACTACTAGACGAGTTAGTTCTACGAGGCAGATAGTGACTCCAGATCAGCGTCTTTTATTAAAAAATAACATCCGAAGATTTCGATCAGCCATTCAAAGCGCTGTGAAATATCGCTGTTCTGAAAGTGGTAGTCATGAAGAAAAGGTAGCCAGTCTGCGCACCGATATTCTTAATTCAATATACCACATATTTGGCGATCATTCTAAATGTGCTACATATTTTTGTAAAGGTAAACATACAGGAGTAATCAAATGATATTTTTGTTGTTTAATAATTATGTTATTTACAGACAAAGACAGTGCAAATAATTACATTCCGGACATGACACGCACGGGTTTATTGCAAGACATTAGAATAGTCCTAAACAGAATTGTTCAACATGCAGATAGTTTGTTGCTAGATATGGACAATAACTCTGCAGAGTGTTACAATTCTGTAGTTGCTAAATTTATAGGCGGAAAAAGAATTAACTTGGCGGGTCGTGATTCTTTTCAATTAAGGTGTCAAGCGGCAGGAATCAGTTTCAATACAGGACATTACAAATATCCCCATTTGATCTACAAATCCATAACGAAGCGAAGTCCTGGTAAATTCGTAAAATCTTACATGGCTCAAAAGAAGAGAATTCATGAAAACAAACTCACAAGAAGACAACTTTTTCCCGAAAAATATAAAAAGAAAATCAAACTTCCCGCAGAAACTGATGCTGATTATGGACCTGACGCTGCCGCCATTTCGAATATATTGCCAGACAGCTATGAGATTGAAAAAAAGGCCTTTCTTGATGCTCTTCAAAAAACACCACTGGAAATAAATGAGTTGCAACAGAAGACTATTGGTCAAAGTAACAATCGAACTTGGGTGGAAGAAAGATATAAGCGATTAACAGCATCTGTTTTTGGAAAAATTTGTAAAATGAGGCATTCAACTTCATGCCAAGCGACCGTGAAAAGTCTGTTGTATAGTACCTTTTCGGGATCTACCGCTACAGACTGGGGCAAAACACATGAGCCTATGGCCGTAGAAGCGTTTCAAATTGCGAACGATGTAACTGTTGAACCTTGCGGGTTGTTTATAGACGCTAATTTTGGATTTTTGGCCGCATCTCCAGATGGATTAATAGGCAATAACGCCATCATAGAGATTAAATGCCCCTACTCTGCGGCTCAGACGACACCAATAGATGCAATTTTACAAAAAAAGCTTGCATATTGCACTTCAAATAATGGGAAAATACAACTAAAAAAATCTTCCGATTACTATTTTCAGATTCAGGGCCAATTGCATATTACGAGGCGTGACATTTGCCATTTTGTAATATGGACACCTCTCGGTATAGAAGTTGAAAGGGTAAATATTATGCTACGATCATATATAGAACCTAGTGGCTATCAGTATAATCAAAACAAAAAAATATGTTTACCTTTCATTTACAGATTTCCAGAGACGACGTATTTTGGTCACAAAAAATGGAATACCGTCTTGAACAATTTTACTACAATTGTTTATTGCCTGAGCTACTCTATCCTCAACATCCCAAAAATCTGCCAATTCGTGATTTGAGGAAAAGAGAACCCCAGAAGACGACATAGATTTTCTAATTAAATAATTGACCACACTCAGTTTTTTTTTTTTTACAAAAAGACTCATAAATTTGCATTGGTAATATGTTATAATTTGTTCATATACTAAGTGTACTAGTTTAGCTCCAATTTTTATATATTTTTATTTTTATTTTTAACCAGCCACTTTAAAATTAATTGTTCCAATTTTTATATTTCCTGTTGGAAATAAACTACTTTTTTTTACTAATAAAACCTGGACGGGGTCACAGTGACCTTCCTACTCCTCACTGCAACCGCACCAGTACAATAAAAAAAAAGAAAGATTTTTCCTACAGTTACCGGTCGGTAAGTAGCTGTAGGTTCCGCAATCGTGTGATTTTTTTTCTCAAAAAAATTAACAGCAATTTGACATTTTTTTTTAATTTGTGGCAATGTCAAAGGGCCTTTTTAAATTTATTAATAATTTACGAATTTTAATTTTATTTTAAACATAAAAAATTCTTCAATAAAAAATGTAATGGGGTTCACTTTTATGAAAATTACAAGAACTGAAAACTTAGCTTTTCTAAATATGACTGACAACAATAACATTTACAGTACAAAGGTACTAAAATAAAAATCAAATTGTAATGCTACTGCACAAATTGCGAAGCGCCGAAAGCTACTAAATCTGCTACTGTACGATGCTGAAATATATTGTTTCTTAAATGACCTGTTTAGATCTCCTATTTAAATTCTCAGGAATTTCGGAAACTACTTTGCACACGGTTTGTACGGCAAACCAACGTTTGTTAGAATAAGGAGACGGGTTCTATAAGGTTCAGTATTCCGTACTGATTTGCTCGCAAACTGGCCGCCTTTGCACATGTGATTTCCTGTGTCGGCAGCGGTGACCTACCACAAAGAATTACCCGAACAATTAAAAATTTGGCAATGAGTACTAAGATAATAAAATGTTGCAATTTTTTATTTTAAATATACATTTCTAAAGGCTTTGGGGCCCCTCCAGCTTTGATGCCCTAGGCCAGTGCCTAGTGTGCCTTATTATAAATCCAAAGGTGTATAAAATTATTACTTGAATTGATGAGTTGACTGACAGATACCACATATCACATCACTAATTTCCTACACAACCGTACGTACTGAAATTTTGTGACTACATAGATACTCGAACAAGAAAACAAGTACTTGTCTAATAAGTTACGGCAAAAACCTCATCTTCTTCGGAAATGTGACCTAAAACGGGGTGCTAAAATTGTCACTTCACTTTGATTTATGAGCAGTTCAGTCCAGTTCGTTTCTCACTATTGATGTTAGCATCGTTCTTTGTAAATTTAATATGGGTGCCTGTAATAGTGCGAAAAGAACAGAGGTATTGATATATTCGAGAGGACAAGAAACAGTAAACATAAACTCCGCCCTCTGGTTGACGTGTTTTTTCTTTGGGACAGCGGAATTAGAAAACGTTGTAAGAGTCAGTACCCCCTTAATGCCTCACCCAATTCCAATAACGCTGAACATTATCCATTACCATTACACTTCATCCAATTAGACAAACATTTTTAAAGGTATGAATTCATAGCAAGATTCCCACGCACAAAATTGTCAATATTTTCTTTTCACACCAAGTTTTGGAAATTTTCACCACACCTTTTTGAACAATGATTAGTTCTAAAATATGCACTGAAAAACATGTTGAGCAATAAAGGTTTTTAGCCACTTACTCCAGATAAAATTGTCAAAGTTAGAGTGTGATGGTGATGAACGTGATTATTACTGTTGTACATCATTCTTGATTTAAGCGTGAAGATCAATAAAATTTCACTCGAGAATAGGTGGTATTGGAAATGTTATTTATAATGTTTTTCGTGGGTCCTGTTTACTGCACATTAAATCAATTGTATTGAAAGTTCATTGGATTTTAAATTTGTAATTTGACTAATCGAAAAAGAATTTACAATCTATTGTAATACATACAAACCATTAAAAGTTTGACGATTTTTCCAAAGTACGTGACTCGAGTTTAGAAGAGAGCAGTACAAAACGGCTATTCTATTTGATTCTCTTAAAATTGCAGTCACAACGCTGTGGGAAAAATGATCAACTGAATTCGGGTCTTTTTTACGAATAGCAAATTTTACGTTTTTTCAATGTTTCGCTGCTTCTAGATGGCGAAAAAGTAGACCTCCCGTTTCCGTCTGTCGACAACTAATTGAAAAATAATTTCCGAAACGACTCAGTAGATTTATATTTTGAGACTATCGTGTAGGTTGTCGAAACGCCAAGCACAATTTAAATTTGTATACTCATTCCAATCAAAAATGTGAAGACGTGATCTCAAAATGTATGCATTATGAATCGGCTTTTATTTTTTACCTAGACATTCAGATTTTGGAAAAAAAAAATCAAAATTGTATAATGATTAAATCTTTTAGCAGCAAATTCATCCATGTTTTTAGGCTTAGGTACGTTGTCTTTTAAGTACAAGTTTTACAATGTATCTATAGAAAATTACTAAACCGATTAGGTTTACTAAAAAATTGGTCGAACGTTATGTTGGCAGAACTTCCTTCAGTACAGTTGAACAAATAGTTTTTTTTTTAATATACGCAGTCTTCTTTTCAAACGAAACTTTGCAATTACGCCCCGCCTCTCGGTGTGACAACGAATCACAATTGAGATCGAGGCGGGTATAGGTTGGAACAAAACGATTAGTTAAGAACATGTTTCACACGGTAACTTCTTGTACAAAAATAAGGATTTTGCAATTACGCTCCGCCCGCTGACTCACGACGAATAAAAAAAAAATCATCACAATTTGGATAGGGTGGGTGGGCGGGGCCTATATTTTGCCTTCTTTTTTTCTTAATATACGTAGTACGTTGTCATGTACATGTTGAAAATGGTAAATTTTTGTGAGGAAATTTGGATTTTGCAATTACGTTTCATCCCTCGGTTTGACAACGCAAGAAAAATTCAGTACAAAAATAAAAATTACAATTAAGCTCCGCCCCCTAGCTTAATACGAATAAAAAAATCATCACAATGGAGATAGAGTGGGTGGGCGGGGCTTATATTTTGTCGTTTTTCCTTCATATACATAGTTTTCTTTTCACGAGAAACTTAAAACATAATCACCCTTTGTTGCGTATGATGAGACAGGTCAATCGGCTGGTAAATCATGACGAATTTCTATTGTTTAATACAACCAAAGGGAAGTTGAGGTATAAAGTAAGATATTTGCTAACTTATTAGCTTGCAGCTAAACTTGTTAGAAAATATATGCTCTATTCTGTATGTTAGAAAATGTTTTATTACTCAGGTTATTTTATATCTGTATGATAACGGGTATCCCGTTGAATAAATAAATATAAAATATGTTCAAAATGGTAAATTGTGGTGAAATATTAATTTTGCAATTACGCTCCGCCCTACGGTCTGACAACGAATGAAAAATTTTTCACAATTGAGATTGGGACGGGTTTAGGAGGAGTTTAATCTTTAGTTTCCTTTTTTACTGAATACATAAATGGGACGATTACTTAAGAACATGTTGCACATGCAAATTTTTTGTAAAAAAATAAAGACTTTGCAATTAAGGACCGCCCTCAGGTTCACGAGGAATAAAAATATCATCACAATTGAGATTGGGCGGGTGGGCGGGGCTTAGGTCTTGTCCTTTTTTTCTTAATATACGTGGTCTTCTTTTCACGACAAGAAACTTAAAATATATTCAAAACGGTAAATTAATTGGGGGAAATGTGGATTTTGCAATTACGCTCCGCCCCTCTAGTCCAGTCATTTTAGGATAAAAAAGGGATCAATCTCGGAATGAGAGATAATAAGCTGAATTTTTGTATATACCTTAATTTTGGCGTTTTAAAAGTTGTGTCAAAAGTCTCATAAAATCTCGTGTCTGCGTCATAAGTTATTCAAGGTCAAAGATGAAGAAAAACAATTTTTTGCGATTATCTCGGTTTCTATTGCTCCAGTGATGTTCACATTTATTATCATAATTGTAGAGCACAAAATTTGGGACGAATTTTATTTGAAACATTTTTTCATGCGCTCAATCGTTTTTGAGATAGAGGGCAGTGAGCGCGCAGCGCTCATCCATACGTACTATAATGCAATCAACCGTGAATATCTATGAATACTACCTTGAATTTTGAAAAAATTGTATTATTTATCAATTAATACATTGTATTTAAACATTTTACATATTTTCAACATATTCATTGAATAATACTTACCTACTTTGTGTAATTAAAAACGCATTTAATGAAATATTTATTGTATATCTCAATTTATTTATATCTTTAAAATGTGTAAAGTTTTAAATACTTATTTTTCTATCATGATTATAACTGGAAGGTCTGGAAACAACGATTCAGGGCACCGAAGATGATGACGATGAAACAGAAATTCCCGAACGTCCAGAAGATGACGGTGAATAAGAAGAAAATTAATACTTTTGTTCTTTAAATTATTATTAAAGATTTCTAGATTTTCACTGCAATTCAATTTCAATCGTAAGAAATGTACAGAACTCGTTTTACTTCCTTAAATTTTTACTTTGAAAAAATTAATATAACTTTTAGATATATAATAATACAACAAGTATAATATATTATCTAATATATAAAAACTTACACATTTGAAAGATAAAGTACTTAGTTATTTTTTTACTTAAAATCTACTTTCAATAAATTAAGATATACCTACAATAAATATTTCATTTAAAGAGTTTTTAATTACACAAAGTAGGTAAGTATCATTAAATGAATGTATTGAAAATATGTAAATGTTATTAAATGCAATGTATCAACTGATAAATAATCCAAAATTTTCAAAATTCAAGGTAGTATTCACATATATTCACGGTTGATTGCATTACAGTACGTATGGATGAGCGCTGCGCGCCCACTGCCCTCTATCTCAAAAACGATTGAGTATATCAAAAAATGTTTCAAATAAAATTTGTTCCAAATTTTGTGCTCTATAATTACGATAATAAATGTTAACATTATTGGAGCAATAGAAACCGAGATAATCGCAAAAAACTGTTTTTCTTCACCTTTGACCTTGAATAACTTACGACGCAGACACGAGATTTTATGAGACTTTTGAGACAACTTTTAGAACGCTAAAATGAAGGTATATACGAAAATTCAGCTTATTATCTCTCATTCCGAGGTTGATCGCTAATTTGACTGGACTACTCGGTCTGCCAACGAATGAAAAATTCACAATTGAGATTGGGGCGGGTATAGGTGTGGTTTAATCTTTGGGTTCATTATTTACTCATTACACATAGTTTTCTTTGAACAACACAATTACTTAAGAACATGTTCCACATGATAATTTCTCGTACAAAAAAAATCATCACAAAGGAGATAGGGCGGGTGGGCGGGGCTTAAATTTTGTCGTTTTTTTCTTGATATATGTAGTCTTCTTTTTTCACAAGAAACTTACAACCTATTGATAATGGTAAATTTTTGTCGAAAATGTGGATCTTGCAATTACGCTCCGCCCTCGGTCTGACAACCAATGAAAAATTCACCACAAACGAGAGTGGGGCGGGTATAAGTAAGTTTTAATCTTTGGCTTCCTTATTTATTCATTACTTATAGGTTTCTTTGAACAACACGATTACTGTAGAATGGTAATTTCTCGTACAAAAATAAGGATTTTGCAATTAATCTCCGCCACCTAGCTTACTACGAATAAAAAAATCATCACTATCGAGATAGGGCGGGTGGGCGGGGCTTATATTTTGCTTTTTTTTGTTGATGTACTTAGTCTTCCTTTCACAAGAAACTTAAAACCTGTTGAAAATGGTAATTTTTTGTCGAAAATGTGGATCTTGCAATTACGCTCCGCCCCTCGGTATGATAACGAATGAAAAATTCATCACAGTTGAGATTTGGGCGGGCATAAGTAGTACTTAATCTTCGGCTTCCCTTTTTTTATTCAATACATATTATAATTTTTGTTTGAACAACAAGTAATTAAGAACATGAATTCACATGGTAATATCTTATAGAAAAATAAGGATTTTGCAATTAAAATTCGCCTTGCGAATCACGATGAATAAAGAAAAACATCACAACTGATGTAGGGAGACAGAATGCCCCACGCCCCTAAATTACAAGGGAACAAATACAGCTTCGAAAAATTAGCAAAGTTATTAATACATGAGTGGGTTCTGAAAGTACAGGTAAAGAAGCATCGTATGCATACATATTTCTCAATGTTTCAGAAAAATACCATATACATATAAGCAATTCAAAAAAATATTAATGGATTGAGAAACCACAAGGATCGATTCTTAATTTTATAAAATAACTTACTCCTCTACTTGTAATTTATGAACCCGTGTTGAATTTTTATTCTCCCAAAAAAATTGATGTTATCATCTTAAAATTTTACCAAATAAATTCTAAATATTATGTTAATATTTGGTTTTCGCTATTTATGGATCTATTTTAAATTTTCAAAAGGGTAGTAGGAATTGTATTAAAAAATCAATTGCGCTTTACAGAAATAAAATATCTATATAATTGAGTAAACAGGAGCAGAATATTTAAAATTTGTAGTCAAACAAACTGTAGCCATTTTTCTGGTCCACTCAAATCTATAACAGGTAACTCATAGAGCTGGTCCTTTTAAACACCTCATAATCCAATAATAAAATTTTATGACATTGTATACCCTCTAAGGTTTTCTAAATTTAATCTGCAAGTCAAATATCTAAAATTGCGTCTTCATCAAATTTTCAAAGTACAAAAATTAATTGTTAAGATAATGCATTACTTTTTAAAAGTACATAATTGTTCCAATCACTGACCAGGGATACCGAAACGTTGAGAAAATATAAAATCAACAAGTCACCCGATGGACTGGATGAGTTATATTATTTTTGCCATAGTGTGCCTCCCTTTCATGCATCCCTCTTTTCCTAAACAAATCTTTTACCTCTGTTGCGCTATCCTTAACATATCTTCCGTGATGTCTTTTCACAGATCTTACACTCCTAAAATTAATACCGCCGCCCCCACAGCATCGATGAAAACAGTAATGGCCCTACGCCGCCCCAAATACCTCTCTTCTGCCCATGACCCAATCACACCGTCGTCATTTAAAATTCAAATTCGAGTCGAGTCTCGCCGATCTTCGCACAATGATTAAAATTGCGCGGCGCACTTTTGTTCCTTTTTCTTTCTTTATTTTTTTAATAGCGATTGTGACGTCGAGCGAGCAGCCCCAAACACTTCAACAACAGAACCCCCATGAGGATAGCAACTTTCCCCGAGCTTTGTGTACCAAGTTACGTTGGAAAACTTTGTTTACTCGTTCAAAGTATATACAATGGAAAATAAATACTCGCCGAAGAATACAGAGTAAAAAACCCTTAACCCACCGCACACACACCCGAATTTTATTATTAAAATTTCCCGTTGTTCGTGGACGGCGTAATTACCACACCGGATTGCTCCAGATAAACCCCTCTTTTCACCCCCGGACAACTTCTCGGCATTCCCCTAAAGCCGCGCTTCGATTGGAAATCGTGCGAATTTTTCCCCAATGTTTGTTAATACAGATCAATCCGAGTTTCGATTTAATTAACTTGTAGCGCGCCCCCGAGGATTTTTTTCATAAGCCTCAGCGATTGAATTAAACATTCAGGTGATTTTTTAATTGGGCGGGGATGAAATATGGGTCATCGTCAGAAGCGGTATGCCGACTTTAATCAGGATTCGGGACCGTCTTTTGTGCGCTGTTGGCGTATTAAATTACTAATTCTCGTTCGCTAATTAGTAATAAACTCGTCAAAAGCGTGCACTTAACGCTCCGTTAAGCTCCGCAGCTTTAGACTTGGAAGGGGCGGCTGAAGCGGCCGAAACTAAAAATCGCAAAACATAAACAAAACACTAAAAACTAATTGAGTCGAAGATTTAATTAAAATGGCAGGGGCGCTTAATTTGTCGATAAAGTGGAGCAAATCGGGCCGGCTAGGCGGACAAATACTTGGCGTTTTTCTCCACGCAAGAAATTGTCTTTGTGAACGAAGTTTGTGTAATTTTGAGCGTCTAGATGTCTAAATACCGGCTTAGTTATTCTAAATTATATAATGTATAAACCTGTAATTACAATTAGATGGGTACCACTCCTTAGGCTTGTAAATTAAAGGGTAAAAGTTAGTTATGTTTTCCCAATAAGGTGTGCTGAAATTGATGAGCGGTACGTACATCCATATCGGTTTTTTAAATAAATAATTATAAAAATAGAATTTATATTTGCTGGGGTTTTCCATTAACAACTTTGTTTCTCTATTCGACGTTTACGTTAAAATATGTGTATGTATTGCACATTAGGAGCTTACAAAACAAATTTGACGTTTATTTCGCATCATAATTCCATAATGGATCATAACCCCGATATTATGCTTTCACATTTTCAGTACCCAGGCTAATTCGCAATTTTTAGCTCAATAAAACTGAACTAAATTACAACTTTTTAAAAGAAGGGATACGTTACGAAGTTGGAATGTCTGAAGGAAAGTGTATATAAAATAAAGATCGAAATCGCTTTATTTTTGTAGCTTGTGTCAGCCAACATTTTAATTTCAAATAATTACATACATTAAGCGTAATCATCGGTCTCTGTTTCAACCCATCACAGCGAAGTTTAAAAAAGTCAAATGCATTTTAAATCGTTTTATCCTTGGTTTGATCGAGCGATATGCCTGGTAATACATTTTTATAACGCTTTTTAAAAAAACTCCTACCGACTGCGCCATGTCACGAACTCCGATATATCGTTTTTACTTTGTATTATTCCATGTACTGACGTACTTGCATTTCTGCTTCTTTACGGCGTCTAATTACGCCTCAAATTCGCCCCTGCCGCTAGAACACGCCGCCGCCGCGTCATTCCGTCGTACGAATTCCCCGAATATTTCTTTCGAGAATCGATTTACTTCGCATTGGTAACCGCAAAAAGAAAAATCGGACGTTCGAACAACACTTCGCACTCGAACATACTGGTGAGTGGATTGTGCGGGCGGTTATTTCGTCTACATCATTCCGAGCCCGGTTTTCATTTATCTTTCCTCGTCCCTTTTTGATTTAACGTAAAAAGATTAGGTTTTTGTTTCAATTGCGCCTCGTGCTGCTGCTTATTTATAATTCATTAAGGCACGGTTTCATTAACTCGGCCGCGTCTAGAGGGTTTAGGACGTAAAAAATATATTAGGGCGGACAAATTCGCGCTGTGACGCGATTAACGCTGAGCCCAAAGAACTCGCAAGGGATATCACTCTAATGGGCTTACTTTGATTAGGAGGGGCGAAAGATGATGAAGAAATGAGGACTCGGACGAGGAGCACATACGAGCCGAAAAGGAGGTTCAAGTGGGGCGAAAAACGACAAGAGATTTTAGGGAGACCGGAAGAACCATACTTAACTTTGCTGGATTAGGTCGGGCCACTAACAAGCGGATTCTAGTGCTTTTGTGGCGGAAGTAAATGTCAACCGAGCCAGTTTTAACCGAGAAGAAATATAAGAGCTGCGAAACGACACACTTTTTGCGTTATGGAGAGACCCACAGGAATGGATGGATCTTTCCATATCGGGTTAAAAAGAACCTTGCTTGCACTTAACCCGTGCTCATTATTTCGTTCCACTGTTGTCAGCTGCAGCACGAAAAACATAACAAAGACGCGCCTGGATCATCCCTTGCTCTTTAGCTACAACCCGACAAGTCGCACTAAAGCGCACTGAAGATGGTGCTTATTTTTAATTGGTGCTTCTCTTAAACTTTAATTGCCCACTCGCGTTCGTGTAGCGAGTGCTTATGACGCGAAAATTGCGACTTCGGGAAATGGTGCAGTTTTCGTACGGAAGTTAGCCGACGACGTTTTTACCGATATAATGGCCCACGAACGCACGAATTCGCACCCAAACTCACTAATTTAAGTATAGATCGCGCTCCTCCTTTCAGCGAAAACAAAAGCCACGAGTTAATTGAGTTATCCGGGCCTTTTTTTCAAACTCGGTTAGATGTTACCGCCCACGAAAAGTAAACTGAAAATTCAACTAGACAGTCGAAATAAAATGGAAAGAACAAAAATACACTATTTTTGTTTATCGGTGTGTCATTTTCGTGCAAGATATTGAAAGACTTACGAGGAGAACAAGAAAATAAAGACAACAAGAGGAGCCGAGAAGGAATCGAACCCGAGCTAGTGATCGTAAATCGATTGATTATATTTTCTAATATGCTTAAAGTAAATATACTTCGTTAGTGAGATGTAAAGTAGCTTTGGATCGTCGTTTTATTCCATTTTTCAAATATGACTAGTGTTGGCGCGGGGTAAATTTAATTTTGGTGTCAGCGGTGGGATTAAGACTTACCGCGTTGGAGTGGGTTTGGTCCGTCTTGAGTTCCTTGTGATTCGAGTATTGTACGTAGACCGCCCTGCCTCTGAGCTGCGCCATGGAGCTCGAGAAGTAATTGACCATGGTGGTGGCCGAAGATTCCTCGCTCATCTCCAAGAAGGCCTGATTCTTTCCTTTGAGCACTAGTACGTTGGTGACTCTTCCGAAAGGTATGCCGAGATGGACGATTTCAGCTTCGGACACGTCGTTTGGAATGTTTCGGATGTGTATGACGCGTGAGGGTTTGCCGACATTCTGTTCCAGCTTCACCTGGAAGAAGAAGACAAAACGCGGTCGTTATTAATGGAAGGAGGGCTCTTCTAATACGTCTCCATTACGAAAGGGAGCGGGAACAATTTAGGTCTATATAGAAACAAACGGCGACTTCCAGCAACTGCCATAAATAAGAGCTGCAGATATTAATTATCGTTTCATAAAGAGGGAAAAGTAATTTTGTGTTGTAGATTTTTAGAGGCGCTGCGCTGCGAACAAACTTCGGCTATTGTCTATTGTGCTTTATTATGAGATCTTATCATAAAATAAAAACCCATCGGGTTCTTTCGCCTCGAGATAAAAGCGGGAGACGAAGCTGTGCAACAGGCATTGTTTGCCGGAGTTATCCCGCAGGTTCTTCATCCCCCATTTTTTTAATATACGAGTTCTCGCATTCTCGACGAATTTTACAAATAATAAAGTTGGAAACCCGTTCGACCCATTGTGTAATCGGACGAGAAAAAGAACGGTTTTTAATCAGGATACGATGTTCGTAAATGAATGGACCGAGCAGATTTCATATCGAGGTGGAGCCGCGTTTCTTTTTAAATAATAACAGGATTTCCTTTTTTCTATTATGGGGCTCCGACAATGCCCGACGACAATAAAGAAGCCTGCGCGAGGCTTTTCTTCATTTCGACTTTAATACATTCTTAATAGACAGAGAGGATGTTAAAAAAACACATACGGGGCTCTAGGGGTTCGCGCTGACCCTCATTACGCCGAATGGCGTCTTCGGGGAGATGCCAACTTCTGCCGTTTTTAATATTTCAAACGATTTTCCGACCGGCGCGCATTTTCAGCTCGGTTTAACTTTTCAAACGTAAAGAGGATCATCTAGAAGTGAAACATAAAAGCTCCTGTTTTATAAACCACGAGATGTTCACTTTTCGCGAATTGATCCGGCTCGAAGGACTAAAAACTTTACCAATTCGTTAGTCCACTTTATGGTTTTGTTCGAAACGATTCTATTCTATTCTAATATTAGAACTTCCATTTATATATCACGCCGATTGCGTGCGCGTATCGAATATCAAAACAATAGAAGTCAATGGCCTGTCAAATGTTTCTTCATTATCCGATACAAACGATCGTTCGATATTTGTGTCTAAATTAACCTTGAATAAATGACTATTGAATTTATGAGACGGGGCAGACAATGTAGGATACGGTGCTTCAGTTGTACTGGTTGCCTTTACAACTGCATTAAATTTTCAATAATACTGGCGCTTTAAGCACTTGCCATTAAAAAATCGTCAATAAACGATAAAACCGACAAGTTAAAGTTAGATTTTATAGAAAATTCGAGAAAGCGCAGAAACTTTTAATCCATAATGATGACCGTATGTCTGTAATTATTTTAAGGTCAGTTAGTTTATGGTTAAGTTGAGATTAATGTCAGGTGCTGGAAGCAATCTATTTGGATCTAACAGATTAACTAATTAACTAATTATACGCAAATCTGAAACAGATGCAATATCACGCTGATGGCGTCAATATTAAGCTTAAGTTATGTTAATAACAATGTTAGAACAGAAAGTACACTTGAAGCTTTAGGTGCCCGATAAAATATTATTTCACAAAATCCCTAACTTGAAAAACGCCGAACATATCGGTATATTCCGGCTATAGCAATCGATAGTTGAAAAGTTCTAACAACTTGGTGAAGAAAAAAACTGATACTAATGTATTTCAAAATAGGTTGAGTCATGCGTTCTACCCCAGATACAAGAGCTATCGATTTCAAAAGCCATTACGAGAAACGGAAAATGAGTGCATTTGAAGATCTTGATATCAATTACAATAAAACGGAAAAAGAGTTCTCTATGTTTGATATTATGTTTGTCAACAGAACACTCTGAGATCCACGGCGAATACAAGGTTCACAAAATTTTGAAAAGGTCATCCCACCAAAATAAAAATTACTCCACCGCGGTTTCGATTTTACAATGAAAGGTGTGTCCAGCTGTCCGAAAAAAAAATCGCCCGTCTTTCCGATCTTTACGAGCTCCTTCACAACACCAGAAACATCACCTCGGTCACTCCCACACCCAAAAATAATCAGCTTTTCATGCACGTCCAGCGCCTTAAATTAGAACCCATTTGACGTTTCCTGCCGAAAGTGTCCCTTTTCAGTCGAAAAAAATTTTCACGCCGCAGGAAATGAAAAACGACAAAAAATAAAAAGCAACCCTCGTCGGCCGTCCGCCGTTCCACCTCTGATCAATACGCAATTATGCAACGCCACTTTCGCCCCGATGTCCGCGGATGGACAAAGTATGAGCCGATGATGAATCGATTTTTGATTATCGTCCCTCAAAAAGCGGAGTGAATTCGTGTGTGAAACGCGCGATACGGTCATTACCTATGCGATGTTTAAACATGCAAGAGGTGGATGGTCATAAATCAAAAGCGAACATCCAGAGGTGTTGGAACGGAGAGTGGAAAGACGGGACGAACGAATTTCTAATTAGGGGAGACGGTTTAACAGATGCGTGCGAACTACGTGGTGCGTGGGTGTTTGTCCTGGCGGATTCATAGACCGCAAGTATATAAAGCGGCGCCGATTTTTCGCTTCACTCACCTTTTTTGCATTCTCTTGATTATTGTTATCCGCATGCGGAGCCGACGGTGCCATCACATTCACGCTGGACTGTGACAAAAGCTCCTCGCTTCCTCTCTGCAATAAAAAAAGAGAAGATTTTAAAAGCCCAGTAATAATAACACACTAGCATTCAAGACTCGATAATCCCTGCGTGCGCGAACAAATTGACGGAGGCACGGGAAACGGGATGAATATGTGATAAGGGTTGGACGGGGAATGGGGGGTCGGGAGTGACGCAAAAGCGCTTATACACGGTACATCTTGGATGTGTGCTTTATGTATTTATATAGTAATCCCGGTCATGAAAGGATTCGTCGAATCCGGAGGGCCGGAAAGGAAGAAAAGAGGACTATACGTAATATAGATTTGGAAGGAAGGCGATTATATTTCCGGTATAAAATTATATTACCTATGAGTATTTCCGTTCTGGCCCGTATTTTACTTACGGAACGTGTTTCTTATTTATCGCCTCGCGTGAATATGAAACGCAATTACGACCAAGTAGCAGAGAGGAGGAAATTTGCATAATCTAAGATATTTGAGAAATGCAATGGCTCTTCTGGGCCAATAAACAAGGATGCGGTGCAGCGGCAGGTACGTGTTTTTCGAATAAAACATGCTCAAGGCGGGCTGGGAGCGTAAGGGCCACTACAATTTTCTTTTTCTGATTTTCCTCAACATAAGCGACGAAATCTCAATACGCGTTCTTGAAAAGTCGGCCAGAGTTTTTCTCAACTTAGTAACAAGAAAAATTATAACCACTTACAACTAGGTGTTTAAAGTTGAACGATTTAATAATGGGAAACTTGTCTCCGAGACTTCGCGTCGAGCTTACGGCGAAGTGAAGCTTTAGCGATTTAAGATACCGCGCAAAAAATGAAGTAAAATTTAAGCTTGCCATATTTTTGCAATATAAGTTGGTATTTTTACCTCAAGTGGTTATCGCGTCGTATACGTGTCAATTAAACAAATCAACGAGAAACCCGAATCATAAAAAAAGTTTTCAAAATACAGACAACCCTAATCCCTGTTTTTTTTTTCGACAGCACGGTAGAAATAACTGACACATGGAAAATTAAAAAAGCAAAAACTAATCAATAACGCAAAATTTACATCGAGATGATTTTTTTTAATTGGTTTTAAATTTTAACTCGTTGCGTTACAATAAGCTCGAACGAAAATGCGGCGAGCTAATAATTAAATCATGAAAATTCGATGCCGCGTTTCCGTTACTTTGCTTTAAATTTTTTTTGGCTAATTGAATTTTGTGCAACTCTATGCAGTGCCCGAAGAGGATATTTAATAGAAAAAGTTTGAGCGTTGAGACTCAATTTTCGTTCCTTTTTCGTTACAACTTACACTCGGTTAAACGAAAAATTTAACTTTTCAATTAAGTTTTGAAAAAAACAGAAGTAACTCCATTAAAGGCAGTTAAAGCGAAACGATTTCGAAATAATAAGAGAAACTCTGGTCCAAAATTATGCGTAGGTTTCACTCTCAGAAGGTTTGCTACACCACTATGTTTCAGGCTAGGAAATCAATGATTGTGTACAATGCTTTTAATTTTCGTCGAGTTATTATGTGGAATATACACTATATTTCGAACACAATGAAAGCATAAACACGCTTTCGGCTGAAAAATTCACTAGCAAAATACAACTAGATATGTTCGAACTGTCCGAGAATAAACTCAAAACGTTCAAGGAAAGAATTTTTTAATTTTGTGTTTTTGTAATGTAAACTTTAACCAAAAGCAATTCCTTTCACAGAAGTAAATAGCGTGTAACTGCGCACTATCAAACATCGAACGAAAAGGCCATAAAATATTATTTAGGAATGTGTTCTCACCAGGAACTAGGCTACATACCAACGTTTCTGAAGTGGCTGAAGGAACTTCTAACTCCATAAATTTATCTATTAAAAAAAAAATTAAATCACTGCTCTACAAGACAGTACTTCCCCGAAAAAGTATAAATTTAAATATACGATCTTTCGTTATAAATTTTGTCTGCAATGTTACGAAATAATAATAAATCGTTAAAGGTGTCTCTCTTTGGGGTCGTAAGAGAAATAGTGCACAAACTTCGAAAAATGTTTTTCGGGTACTCCTGGGATTTTCACAGTGCAAGAGTCGTCCCAGAAATTCCCACTTGTGAGAAATGTGTCACTTTTCGTGCAATATACTAATTCAAATGAACGTAAACAAGCTGTCAGAATTCCATTACATGAAACTTAAACACAACTTGGACTAGGAAATAAAACAAGTGCATGTTTCGTTTTATTCCATTCTGAAAGTCATTATTTAAATCGTGATTAATCCAAAACTAATTTTGTTACTAAATTCTATTATTTCATTTATACTCATTATAAAATTTCCATACTGAATTGATTGTGTCCACCGAAAATCGATTTAAATCGAGCGGATGAGTACATAACTCCGTCGTATCACGCAAGAGGAGGGGGGTTATCCAACCTAGTCAATAAGTCAGGAGCTTCGCTCGCCCCCGTTCTTAATAAATATTACGTGCTAGCAAATTACAATACATTCAAGCATGTAATTATAATATTAAGCAAACGTGAAATTTTATTATTCAATTACATGAATAATTTTTTTCAACAGTAAACATTTTATTGTTATTACGCCCAATTTTAACTAAATGTACCGAAGTGTATAATGTAAATTAATCTTGTTTTAATTGTGTTTTTAATTATACTTTTAAAGTTAATGACACATGTTTTACCTGATTAATTTAGTCTTTTTCTACGTACAATTGCAAACTGTTTGATTATTTTATCCCAATGCTTTTTAATAATTTCCAGTGAGTGGGTAAAAACTAGAAATAAATGATTATTATTATTATCCTCATTAAATGTTCAACGGTACTAGTTTTTTTACGTGCTACATATATATTAGACAAGAAATAAATATCACAAGCAGAAACCTGGTTAGTCGACCTTAACAAGCACTAAACATCCATTGATCCGATTGTCGCTGCAGTTAAATCTGCGAAACTAAATTCAATTACCAAGTAACCCATTACAATGGTTTATGCACGGTTGCAAAATGTACTCGATGTACTCTCAGCACATGAGGAAGACCCATTAATGGTGTTGTTTACAGCTATAAATAAAATCTTAAAGAGTACTTGTTTTACCGGTATCAACCCATATATTGATTGTTCTATAACGGAAGTGTTACTATAAATGACATTAGTCTTGTATTGTGTTTCACGTCCATGGATTTGACCCCCAAATGTATTTATTTTAAATTTTCCAGGTCTATAATTTATCCGTGTGTGACTAACCCAATGGTTTTAGTTTTTTTTTTTTTTTTACACAAAAGCAAGAATTGCATAGGAAGTCGAGAGTGCTAAGTAGGTGTCTTGAAATAACTGTTAAATATAAGTCTAGAAATCGAGTGCTACTATGTGGCACACACTTTATGAAGAGCTCTTATAATTTACTACTAACGATGCTTATTAACACCTGATTTAACTTCTCAATAGGTTACAAAGTTGCAATGCTCTAAATTAAGCTGCCCCCTTCACGCTAAAAACAGCGTCGTTTACAGAATTTCAATACACCTCTCCGTTCTCACGATATATGGTTTTATCTGGGCCACCCTGTAAATTTATCATAAGTAGAATAAAAAAAAAAAAAAAAATCTCCGTTCATAAAACATCGCACCTTCTAACGACACAAACTACCGCCACTACATCCCCCCTCCTCCCTGTTTGTTTCTCGGAGGCTTTTTGTTTTTTCTTTTCGTCGCATAGTCTGATTCGCTCCGGAATTGGATTTGTTCCGGGCTCGAGGTTGATCCGCTCGTTCGGTGCGGTGCGAAAGCTTTTAGCCCGCGCGGGGTGCCGAAACTGGAACAGATGTAAATGAAGTAACGGAACGCGATTTATTCGGCGGTGGCGGCGCGGGGACGGCCGCTGCATCTCGGAAAAATTTCCATACATTTCGAATTCGGCGACAATTTCCTTCCAACGTGAAAGAACACAAAGAAGAAAGTGGCTGATGGACGGAACGGGGAAGTGGGGTGATTTTAACGAGTGTCTATTTAAAAGTTCTCCGGTGGAATTATCGAAACATTTCGGAATTTTTATGGTGGCATGTGTCTGAATTGGATCCCGTCTCGCGTGAGCGCCTTTTCGCAAAATTCTCTCGCTCCGGCGTTCCGGAGAGATCACGGTTCGAGGAGTTCTTGCTGAATCACGAACGCGGAAACTATCGCCCGGTTTACACCTTGGGGTGGCAAGCGCCAATTATTCTTTTCACAGATCGCACAACACGAAAATGCAAATTTACCAGGAGATGTTGTTCGTCGTCATAGTCAAACTTTCAATGGGTTGTCACTTGAATTAAAATCCAGAAGTGCAAGTTCTTGTTGTATTAATAGTGACACTATTAGCAAAATAAGTAGATCTTCTTTGTTGCTGTCACTTTGTGTTTGCATTTTCATTACAAAGTTGAGATTTTGATTCAACAGCTAACCATGAGGAAACTAATCGATAGGTTGACCCCGATAAGGAGGAATTAAGAAAGGAAAGACAAGTAACTGTTGCTCAACTTAATCGAAAATCGATTCGTGTTCCGTGAGGCTAAAATTTAAAAATGTCTCTTATTACATCGTTTGTTGCTTATTATCAGATATTATTAGTGTAACTCTTGGTTCTATTTTCTCTTGTTTCCGCTCTTGTCGTCCTGGAATACTTGACAGGATTCTCCGATACCACCCAAGACAATTTAGAAATTTCTTTTATAAGTTCGTTATTTCAGCATTTGTTTTATTAACGAATACATTTTGATTCCTACTAGTACCTGCAAAGAAAGACTGATTGTGGCAAATGAGATTCCGCTAAGAAAATAGAGGGCGGGTGGGCGGGGTTAATACCTGCTATGATAAAACTGATTTTTGTAAATGACATATCCTCTAACAAGAAAGAGGGTGGGCGGGCGGTCGGGGCTAGTACTTGCTAAAATAAAACTGATATTGCCAAATGGCATACCCTCCAAGAAAATAAAGGGTGGGTGGGCGGGGCCAATACTTGCCAAGATAAGACTGATTT